TTTGTTTTCCTTCTGGCGTCAGATTAGATGTTCAAACCAAGCAGTGTTTGAGGACCGAGGACCGAGGGGGAATGTCCATGGGATTCTTAGTGAGGCTAATCCCGAAGCAGTGGCACATTCCAAGGGGCTAATCTGCCCAAGTTCATTGCTTACTTGAAACAGCTCTCGGGGGACGAGCCGGGCAAGTGACTTTTTTTTCCAGTGGGCGGTCATAAGACCATTATTAACAGGATGACCAGCCCCGGCCACAGCAAAATGAAAGCAACAGGAGCCACTCTGGGGACTGCCTTTGCCACCAACCAGAGTCAGTGCACAGGTAAAGTGACTTCAGCTAACTTTTCTCTTGTTTGACTTCTTGATGTTGGAGCTGGGGATTTAGGGGAAGACCAAAGGAATGCCCAGAGGGTTGTTGAGAGAAAACAGAAGACAAAAATGAACGTAGGCATTAAGCCCTTTTGGGGCTTGGTATTTTGCTCTAAAGGAGAGAGGGTCTCTACTTCAAACAGGGAAATGTGACGAGGAGAACTTTTTCCTTGTAATTTGTTTCTGCAAGTGCATAGACTTTTTTTTTTTTTTTTAAATCTTGCAATTAGTGGTTCTGGAAATTTTCCTTTTATCACATCGCTCTGCTTTAAAGTGAATTACAGTAGCACTTTCCAAGGCTTTCTCAGGAGGGATTTAATGTATCCTCTGTGTACACCCTCCTAACCACTGGCTTCCTGGAAAAGGTCTCGATTCCACCTCAGCCGACAGTGCCTAGGAAGGAAATTTGAGGCATTTGGGGTCTAGGGTTGGTAGCACAGTCTTGGTGAAAAAGAATTGAAAGTTGTTTAAATGAAATGACTTCTTTTTAAGGCAATTTTTACAGCTTTTCTGGTGTCTATTATTCTGATTCTTTGTTGATTGTACATTTAATTTCAAAATTTATGCCTGCTTTGTTCTTTATACTTAGTTCAAAATGCAGATATCCTCATTTTTGTTTTAAGTAAGTTGTGCTTTAATTATTAGCCTTTGAAAGAACACTTCCCTGTTACATATCACACATGGCTAGTGATGCAGAAAGACAAGAAAGAAAATAACCCTTCGCAGGCTCAGCCGTGGTTATGTGACCATTCTGCCTTCTCAAAAGAAGGCACAAAAGTGATGTTTTCTGAGGAGTGATGCTTTCTTTTTCTAAAACTACATGAGAATTCCTAGACATTTTGTAAAAGAAAAGATATTTGGACAAACTGTCTGTTGAAGTTTTGTGTTAGAAGATAACTAAAGGTCTGCAAGAAATGGCATGTCAAAATTATTTCATGCGTTCTAGCCACAAAGATAATCATTCTGCACTAATTTAGGTGGACGTGGAAGTAAAGTATAGAGCTTCACGCAGGGTGATTCAAAGACTTCAAACAAAAAAGAAGGGAATTAGTTTAGGGAAGAAGTTAAACTATGATTATACATCAAATGTGTCCTCTATAAGAAAGTAACTTTTAAAATCTACTGTTGATTCACACTAAAGACCAGAATGGAAGCACAATAAAGCAAATCCCACAATATGGCATAGTGAATTATATATAATATTTTGTAGAATTCCTAATTCATGTGCTCTACATGCATTTCTTCTCTGATATATTATACTTTTCTTCTCAAAAAACAATGCAATTCAGTTATGAATAATGAGATCTTTTACATTCGTTTTTCTTTCTTTCTCTCCCAGTCGTCTGTGCCTTGGAAAGAGAAGTGATTTGCTAATAGTAAGAAATAAAAACTGATCCTCTACCCTTTTACTTACAATAAAGTAGCTTTTTACCTTTGGGAAGGTAATTAAATCACTAAACTCCAGGCAAGTTAATTTATTTTACACTGAAAACCAAACAAGTTGGCAAGCCACGTGTAGGAATTCTTACCACACGCCATTTTACTAAAGCTTCTAGAACTTTCCAAATAGAAAGAAGTGAGTGAAAGAAATAATGCAGGTGTTCCTGAAGAGTCTAATCCATCTGTCATGGTCCCAAATTCTCAGGGTAGGAGCCCCACCGTGATTCCATCTCTTTCCTGTAGCTTTGATAATACCCTCACCCCTTCTCTTGCTAAGTCTTCCTAGACTCTCTCAAGTCTTCCTAACACCCCATGCTCCTTCTCTATACCTAGAAGAGAGGAGGGCTGTAGCTGAGTGTCCGTGACTCTGCGTGTGAAGACAGGGAAGAGAAAGAGAATGCACAGTGTGCACTGGTTCCAGACAGGCCTGGTGAAGCCCAGCTCTGTCCACATACCAGGATCACCCAGGCGTGCTTGACAGAACCGCACAAAGCAAGGACATTCAGTATCAGTCACCTGTTAGAGAAGTAGTTTAGCTGGGGGGGGGGTGAGAGTGTTAGATTGCTTATGTTCAAACCCTGGCTTTCAATGAAACTCCCTGGCTGCCTCAGTTTCCTCACTGGTGAAATGGTTATAATAGCAGTACTTCCCTCACAGAGTTCTTCAGGGGTCCATGGAGAGAGGGCATACCTGGCGCAGTGCCACAGACACCATAAGCCCTTAGTAAATGTCAGCCCCTGTTTTTTCCCACCGAGCTCGTACTGTCAGGCAGTGTACCTGAATTATCTGGCTTATCACAAAATTCTCCCAAGTAGTGATGATGCTCCCCATGTTATGGAAGAGGTTCAGAGAAATTAAATAACTTATACCTGAGTAGTGGTCCTCTGTGTTCAAGTTCTCTGTGACCCTCAACATGAAGGGACAACAGTCTAGGTCATTGCAAAAGGAATTTGTAGAACTCTCATCTGAACATTCATGTGTTCTCCTAGCACTGGAATCAAGCCAAGATTCATCTGTGTTTCTGCAATGAAAGCATGAGACCCAGAACATAATGACAACAACACTATGTGTCAGGCACTGCTGCTGTGCCCATTTTATAGATGAGGAAAACTGAGTATCAAAGGACTCACATGACTTTCTCCATGTTTCAGATACTCTTCGTCCCACTTTTTTTATTGCCCATCTCTACTCCCCTCATCTCTACCCACAATACCATTTTTCTGACTTCCTCAAGGTGAGGATTGATCAATGATCCCTGAAATTCCCCTATGTTCCCCAACAGATCTTTCTGAAATCTGGCCAACATGGGCTACAATAAGCAAAAACAAAGAACATTCTTCCTTTCCTGCTCCCAGAGGTGTAGAAAAAGTGGGTCTTAAATGTCCAGCCAGAAACATTTTCCATCTTTCTGCCAACAGATGTTATCAGTAAAAGTATCCCGTGTCTGGGGAAAACCATGGCATCCACAGAGTTTAACTTACAGCTTTTTAACAAAGATAAAGACCGGTTATCTTTGCTACTAAGCTCATTTCTGTTGCAAAGATGGAGCCACTAGCTTCTAAGAAAAAAAGCCTTTGAGAATAGTCTTCTCATGTGCACCTAACAGATAACTACAGGTATCATCTTTGCAGCCAAGAGTGCAAGAGTCCCCTTGTCCTGTAGATCTGAGGGGCTTGGATGGCGCTCTTCACGCAGAGGTTACATGAACAACTCGGCCGTGTGTGACCCACATGGATTTCCTCAATTATCCTTCATGATGCTGCTCATAAAATGTGCATTGTCCCAGGTATTAAAGAATTACTGCTCTCAGTGCCACATACTTGTGTAAACTTCACTGTGGAAGACTGAAGTTTGGGTACAAGCCAGAGCTCGGCTCATCCTGTACAGACATTTGAGTTGCTGGCAAAGTTCGGCCTAATTATAACAAACAGATGGACCCTGTAAACAGTTACCAGCCCTGATGGGGACAAACCAAGTACACAGCCCACTGTGCTTTAATCCCAGGTATTTTAAAAGCATGAGCTTAGAACACATGCTGGAAGGTGACGACACATAAAAATAACATTTTGTGGTATTCTAGCAACTTCCATTTTTGGTGCTTAGAGAGGAAAACTTCTGAGCAGCTTATTGGATTTCATTTCTCTACTGTTTCAAAATGCTGGTAAAGAAAGGGGTGGAGGGATGTAGCATGGACACCGTTTTGGAACAAAGATCCTACAGTCCCTTATAGTTGGCCGTAGCATCACCCTTTGTGCATCTGGAAACCCAATCTTGACAGCAGGACTTCTGGTTGGACGGTCCTGCCAATGCCCATTCTAAGAAGCTGCTATGTGATGTATACTCAGAAGTATGTAGAGTACAAGGGGATATAAATTGCTACCTGCCTTCCCAAGGCATCATCAGTAACATTTGTGATAAGAAATTTATCTTCCACATTTCTCTTTGTTCTCTGTCTCTCTCCTTTGTATTTAAGTACTGCTATTTGGACTTCATAAAAAGTCTGATGGTGGACTGAGCCCTGTAGTCACATAACTTGCCCATCATGGTTCTTTCGTTCATAAAGGAAAATCTAATGGAATCTTAACCGCAAAAATGTTGTGTGTGTTTGGGTGTGTCTCTGCCTACCATGGAATACTTTTTTTCTGTCAGGCGACAGGTAGAACATTCTTTTTTGTTGTTTTTTGTTGTTGTTGTTGTTGTTGTTGTTTTTGTCTTTTTCATTTTTATCGGTACCAGGGATTGAACTCACGACCGCCTGCTTACAAAGCAGGTGCTTATGCCGCTGAGCTAAATCCCCAGATCCCCAGCCCCTTTAATAGTTTTTTTTTTTGTTTTTTTGTTTTTTTGTTTTTTTTTTTTTTTCAGGTAGAACATTCTATCCTTCTACGTTCATTTTGTCTCCAAAGAGCATTGTCTTTCTATCCTTCAGAAGTCATCATGTATTTAGATGGTTCCATCACTAAAAACATGGTTCCATGTTTTCTCAGCATGGTTATTTTAATTTCCAGTATTATAAGGTTAACCCAATTAGTAGATCCTAGAAATCATTGTTTTTATATGTAACCTTTGTGAAATAGCTCTAATTTCATTTTAGCTTATGATAACTAATCTGTTATGATTATGAAATTTTGCTTCTTAGTTAAAATTATTTAAAGGTTATATTAATCTCATCTTTTCTCTCTCTCTCTCTCTTTCAGGCTCAGAAATCCTGGATAGAAAGAGCGTTTTATAAAAGAGAATGTGTTCACATTATACCCAGCACCAAAGACCCCCATAGGTAACCTTACTGTCTGTCATTTATCAAGATATGAAGTCGTAGTTATGGGACAGAACATAATAGTAATCACTACCCTCTGTACAGGATCCATTGCCAATTTAGGGCTGTTTTTATTGTTGAACACTTTTGAAGTATCCCTTTCTTATGGTGCCAGAGAATGAACCCAAGGAGTGCTGAGCTGTATTACTAATGCTTTTTATTTTTCTATTTTGAGACAGGGTCCTGCTAAATTTCCTAGGCCACCTCAAATTAAATTCGTGAGTCCCCTGTCTCAGCATCTAGGATTATAGGCATGAGCCACTCCCCACCCCCAGCTCTGAAGCAATCATTCAAATATCTATATAATATAGATTATATATATTGAGTCTTACACCTACAGTTAATTCTTAGTCTAAGAGTCTGTACAAATAACTAATAAACCTTTGCAGAGCAACTAATCTCTGAATATAACACTTGGCTGAACTTTTTTGTTACCAGTTACTGGTTTTTTCTTCTAAACATGTATTACTCTAGTAGACAGGTACTTTTCAATAAGACTCCTGGCAAATTACCAATGAGACTGTAGAATTTCAGATTACTCCACATTATTTTTTGGTTGTATTAGAGACTGAACCCATAGCCCCAGTGGCCTTTGCATGGAGCTGTATCCTTAGCCCTAGGAAAAGCCTTGCTAGATTCCCCAGGCTGGGCTGGAACCTGGGCTCTTCCTGCCTCAGTCTCCCAGAGTACTGGGATTACAGGCATGTGCCACCACATTTGACTTCCTCGGCACATTTTTAGTGCCTGCTTACCTTCCTGAAGATCAGTAGTGTGTAAGGTGGGAAGCATTTGGGTTGGAATATAAGAAGTAGTTAAAATATATGGTAAATATTTTAATTTAAAATTTTTATTGCTGTAGAAGACATCTTTGCCATTTATTCCCATCGAAATATTCTCCCTCACTTTGAACACACATCCTATCATTCTTGCCATTTTTAAAGCATTTCTGTAAGTCTTCTTTCAAGAATGTTTACACAAGGTATGATCAAATACCTGGTGGCAGGTTACTGCCAAGTGCCATCTGCTAAAAAGACAGGCATGCAAAGTCATCACAGCCTGACCACATCTACCGTATTCACCAAATCTGGCACCAGGGGATATAGGGCTCTTTCCCATAGCCAAAATGACCATGAAAGGTAAATACCATCAATTGATTTAAGACATCAAGGCTGCCATAACACTCAAGCAAAGACAGGAAAGAACTTCTAGAACAGCTTCAGAAATGGCAAAAGAAAGCTGAGCATGGTGGCACATACCTGTAACCCCAGAACTCAGAAGGCTGAGGCAGGAGGATCGTTGCAAGTTTGAGATCAGCCTGGGCTGCAAAGTGAGCTCAAGGCCAGCATGAACTGCATAGTTGAAACTGTCTCAAAAAGACAACAAAGGAATAACAATGGCATAAGTATTTTCAAAGTAAGGGAGAATATTTTGATGTGGATTGATGCCAACATGTCTTCTACTGTGATAATTTTTTTAATTTAAAAATTCACTGTATCTGTCAGTCATACATCATAACACATCTGTGTCTGGAAATGCCTTTATGAACAGGCAATTGAATACAGCAGTTTAGAATGTAGATTATACAGTCATAGAGACTAGCTGTATAACCTTGGAAAATTTACCTAATCTTCAAAACCACAATGCTTTCTCCTTAAATGGATGCTAAATTATTAGTGTTCCATAAACAGCAGCTACTCACTGTGACTGTTATTCCTAGTAATTGTGGTACTAGGGGTAATAACACATGTAGACATTTTCCTGATCGAAGGTGCAAATTTTCAGTTTTCAAATATCTTGTGAATTTTTTAATTGTTTCTTCAAGAACACTTAAGCCTGCAAATTTTTATTTTTAGAATTGGATATTTGACAGTGAATGTCAACTGGGGAGAGACAAGTTAGACTGTGACTCACATCAGTGAAATTCTTCATTTAAATATGCATCTTAAACCCTTCCCTGGAAGCTCTTTAGCGTCCTCCAGGCAGGACGTGATAGATGGGAGGCATAGAAAAATCCAGAGAACTTAGGCTCACAGGTGTCCTCTCTACAGAAATGCTTTAAAAATGGCAATATTTTAGGTGACAAAAGTGTGGATGAGGAAGAGTAGCGGGCTCATTGTAGCTTAAACAGTTAAAAGGTGGGGACAAAGGAACAAATAAGAACTTTTGAATAATGGCCTGTGTTTTCTGGCATTACATGGCCATTCTGTTTGCAGGCAACAAAACGTAATTCCAAAATGGTAGGTTGTTGTGGTTTGAGTTAGTCTGCTTGTTAACTGGTGTTAAAACTGGTGCAAATCACAATTTGTCAGATAGGTTTTTGTTACTTTCATGACAATGTACAGGGACACTTGTACTCACTGCTGTCTGAGGTCACAGGTTATAGGGTACCATCCTGACACCAGAGTTGTTTGCTTTTCCAATCCCCGTGATTCCAGTGTGCAATCAAGGTTGAACTCTCTTGATTAGTAACGATTTTCTTTGTTAAAGTCACTTTAAACATAGGACTTCATTTGGTAGCAGGGGTACCATTCATTTGTGTGGGGTGGGTGAGGTGGACAGGGCTGAGCTTACCATTTTGAGTTGTCTGGTGCTTGTTAATGACATGGCCCTTTCCACAGAAGAAAAAAAGAAAGAAAGAAAAAACAAAGGAGATACATGTACCGTAGAAAGCTTAAGCTCACCATTTGCATCATATGGCCACACTGTAGGATTTCACCTAAGAGAGCCAAGTTAGTCGGTATGGCTAGACATTCCTGTCACAGGTTGCCTTGTGTGTGTATTGAAGGGGTGGCTGGTCCAAGGGCTTCACGCTAACCTCTTCTGTTACAGGTGTTGCTGTGGACGTCTGATAGGCCAGCATGTCGGACTCACTCCCAGTATCTCTGTGCTTCAGAATGAGAAAAATGAAAGTCGTCTCTCCCGCAATGACATCCAGTCTGAGAAGTGGTCCATCAGCAAACACACCCAGCTCAGCCCGACAGATGCTTTCGGGACCATTGAGTTCCAAGGAGGAGGCCACTCCAACAAAGCCATGGTAAATGGAGAGGCGATGGGACCCTCTGCCATGCTATCTTCCATCCTGCAGGGCGTGACTGGGGTTTAGATCTGGTTCCAACCCTGTCACTTCCTGAAGAGGTGGCTTGTTCTCATTTTGCCCATCAGTCTTATGTTTCTCCTGGGATTTTTGAAATGAGGCTGAGCTCAGACACAGTAGCTATTATTAGTAATAATGAATAACTTTTTATTACTTTTATTCTTGATTAATGTGTATTAATCGTATATATGAATGGGGCTTAGTGTGATATTCATGCACACAGACTGTGCTGATAAAATCCAATCTCCCTTTACCCGTCTTCCTTAACCTCTGTTAATCACTATTCAGAATATGTGGTATTTGTCTTTATCAGGATTATTTTCTATAGTTGTCCACTATTTATTATTTTCTATCTATGTCACATCCACTTAGACATTTTGTAAACACTTCCTTGCTACCATCACCTTGCTGGAAAATGTGTTCCCCTAGGTTTGTTTTGTTCTATTAGTAACAAGCATTTCTCCTCATCCAAGGCAGAAGTGGTCATCCTAGCCTATTTCCTTCCTTGTTCTAACAGAGATCTTACCATCCATATTGAGTCCTTTTTCCCCAAGGATCAATAATGTTCTCAATAGAAAGTTGCATACAAAAATCATTTTTAAAGTAGTTTTAGAAAATATATACATTTTATTTTCAGAGCCATCACTTTCAAATTTCAGCTCTCATCATGGTTCATTACCTGCATGGCTGACTGATTTTGCAAGAAGTCTAGCATGTGTTCCGAAAATTCTAGAAATGTTTTAGTATAAGCAACTTGCTTCCCACTGAGCACAGAGAGTCAGCTGAGGACAGAGCAGTTGGAGGTGGCTCCTCTGGGACACAGCCTGTAGTATTTTGAGTTTGGAGAGAAAATTGGGCTGAGAGAAGCATTCTGCAAAATTCAAGGGTAGTCACCTCCTACTTGTTACAGTTTCCAAACGAAGCTACCTCTCTCCTTTTTTCTCTTCCTTTTCCCCTTTTTTGGTCCTCTTCCCTCTTGCCCCACTGCAATAATCTCTTTACCAAGAATGGTTGACTGATCTCACAGATCTTCCCTACAAAAATTAATTTTGAGCTATAGATTAAATTAAAACCAAGTTTGAGTTATCCATGGGAAAGAAAAGGGTGCTGCCTATAAAAGGGAAAACAAATAGCTTAGTCTTGATCAATAGGAGCTAAGGAAAATGGAGACTGAGAATTTCCTTATCCCCTTAAGGGAGGTTCCTCCTTATACAGAAGAGTTCTTGTCTACAGCATAGGTTTGAACCGTAGAAATATGATCCCCAGAAAGCACAGTTTAAAAGCCATGCAAGGTGTCCCTGGAAGGAAAGTGCTGTAAGTGAAGAAGTGGATGACAGGAGAGCAGTGACAGTGGAGTGGGACAACCTCTGCCTTCAGTGTACTTGAATGGTACCTGCAGATCTGTGCCTCTAACCCAGTAGGCACGCGGCCAGCATCTGCTCATGACTCCATTAATATTCAGTGTCACGGTGGAGCATGTATACACGTGTACGTACGGGTGTCCTGAGCTACCCGTTGAGTTGAGTCTCTCGATACCCCAAGCTTGCCATTGTCTAAACATGCATTCATCTATCTTTTGGGGACTGACCTCGGACCCCAAGGTTTTGCATCTCATCACTATCCACGGTGGGTGACCTCCCCACTAGTGCCCACAAAACACACTGTAACATTGTGGTCCCCAGGCAGAGATGGCTGCTTTATATCCTGCATTGAAATCTTCATAGTCCAGCCTGGGGAGGCATCAAGGAGGTAAGGCCAGGAACCATTTGAGAGCAAAGGTCCCCACCCCCCATACATGCACCTCTGTCTCATCAGACTTCACTTGTCAAACACAAACTCAAGAATAAACCTATGAAGCATTTCAAGACAAAAGTGCAGACTCACAAACAGCAAACCCCGAGCACTCTGAGCTGTGTGACTGCTGGTCACACGCCCATGAGGCTGGCTCTGAGGTTACAGCTGCCCTCAGTGGTCTCAGCCTGATCACTGCAGGGAAAATCTTTCTGAACCAGATAAGCCAAATGGAGTCTTAGGTTTCCTTTCATTCCTCCTGAATTTAAAACAAATGGAGGTCCTCGTGCTTTGTCCCTTTAGAAGACTTGCCCTTGGAAGGCAGCTATGCTGACCACTCTAGCATCAGCGCCTCTGAGCCTTGCCCTGGAACTATTCTGATTCTCCTGTGTGGAAAAAGAAGTAGACTTGACCCCAGCAGGCTAAGACCTGGGCCTTCATCAGCTCCCACCTCCATTAGCAAACCAGCATGCAGTAGAGACAGAGGAAAATCAGGCAGCCTCTGCCTCTAAAGGAATGCCAGTGAGCAGAGATAGAGCAGGGCTAATTCTCAAGGACTGCAGAGACACAGACAGCTTACTTGGTGCCTCTGGGTTCCTGCTTCTGAAAAGCATGCCTGAAAGTTAAAATGATTTTTCATATAGTCCAAAAAGCTCTAGAGGCATATACATTATATTAATTTTTTAAAGTATGATACAATATTAACTTTTTCCTTCAAGGCAATCCAGGATGAAGCCCTTGGGTCCCCAAAAGGTTGAGATGGTCTGCGCACCTTGGGAAAGTCTGCGGAGTCTTGGCAGGCTATAGTAGAAGGGAAAGTCCATTAATAAAATGTCACAGGTCATGTGGGATCCATATCTCTGCTTAGGGAAGCTATAAATCTGTCCTACAACACAGGCAGTATAGGAATCTATCACAGGCCTTTCTTTAGCCATCAAATATTCTTGAGAGATGGGATAGAGTGGTTATCAACTTAGAGGCTCAGAGTGACCCATGGGACTCACAAATGCCCATATGCAAGACTCACTTCCAGAATCTCATTTGTTAGTATGAGATAGATTTTTGGGAAACCTGTTTTTTTTTTCCCTTCAAATTTACCATGATTATTCCACTGTTCTGCCATGCTAGAAAAATCCTAATTAATCCCAGTGCCTCTACTTGTGTTATAGAGAAGGTAACTGAGCCCTGAGAAATTAAATTATTTTCTCAGAGTCACACAATCACTTAATGACAAGTCCTAAATCCACCTTCCCAAGGACCTCTTTAACTCTGTTTGATCTGTGCCCTGTGTGCCTGGAACTGATACAGCAGTTATTTTGTTTGGGAAGATATATGTGGATAGTTGACAAGAAGCTAATTATTATTTTGTTTCTAACTCTTTTATAAGGGTTTTTGAAAACTTTGTCAGATTATAAAATCTCTATTTAATGAGGTTAATTAAGCTCAAAAGCTATCAGCAGGACAAGGTCTTTGTAAAATTACATTCTAAGTTAATAGAACCATTTTCTGAGCCCTTCCAAATGCTTGGTGGCACACGGCCCTCAGTTCTTCGGCTTGACAGGCCTCAGCAAAATAGCAACAGAATCAGCACTTTGCAGAGACAAGTTGACATAGAAGGAGACATGCAAAAGTGATAGCAAGCAAAGGACTCTGGCTTCCTCCTCAGTACCAAGCTGTATCCTTTGAAACTGGAAGCCCAAAGTAGCCAGTGCCAGCAGTTCATTAGGACAACTCATAACTTTCCAAAATTGCCTTTGAGATCAATCATAAGAGGGCCATCACCAACCAGTGTGTGATTTCTCAAAGACTCATCTTTAGCTAGGGCTCCCTAGATTCTTTGCTGAGCATGATTACAGGCTATCTTATTTGCTTACCAATCATGTGTTCAATTAATGCTGAGCCAGCTGGTGGGCCAAATCCATGTAGCCCAATTAAGGATGTGTGTTTACACCTCTCAAGTCGTCGCATAATTCTTTGTAGGTTTTCCCTTGCTAAGAGCAGGTTGAGCCCCTTATTATAGTTTTCATATTATTTAGATAATTACTCCTAGCCTTTATTTTCACACTCGGAGCTCTAATGATTGAGTTGGCCAGGATGAAAGGCTTACTCTCAGAGCAGTGGGGTACAGGTGGGGCACTGAGGAGGACGTGGAGGTTGTCAGAAGCAAGGCATCTAGGCCTTACACTGTCCTCCCTAGCATGCTTGGGGGATGGGATTTAAAAATTGTCTTTGCATCATGTAAATTTGACCTGGGAATCATTGGTGGACATAAACAAATAGGAGGTCAAAATGAATCCCTCTCCTAAAAAAAGAGCAAAACAAAACAAAAGTAATCTCTAGACTGTGGTAGCCCACCAGCTTTACAAAAACATAAGAGGTTTTGTAATTGCTCCATTGATTTCCGGCTTCCTCCTTAGCATCTCAAGACAGCCAAACTGGCAATTCCTTCAGATGGTCTTTTTTTAAAATTAAGACTAAAACTAAAATATATCCTGTATATTTCCAATCCTAACCTAAGATCTATAGAAAAGGAAAAACCAGTCAGCCAGGAAACCATCCCATCTCCTTGCTTCTGGAAGACTTTATGCTAAATATCTCTGGCAGAAAATTCATAGAATCCTAGCTATGACCTATTCACATGCTTAGTGAAGTTCTAAATTATTTCTTAATCTTCAGGCTTCAATCATCATCATCCATCCCTTATATAAAGACCTGATACCTAACCCTGAAACATTACTAAAACAGCATGGCACTTCTACTTCCAAAGCTTTGTTGGTCATCAAACTAAATTTAATAGCGGAATGCCATTCCACATATTTTCTTTCTAGGGACATTGTGTATCTACTAAACTGTCATAAGCGTTAAAACCTTTGATGCAAAACAAAAGGCTGCATGGAGTTAGAAAGTTGGTATTAGTAGAATTATTCAGCAGTCTGATATGACATACTCTGCTTTGCCAGTTTTAATTACAAGTGTCCCCTTTAAATTTGGCTATGAATATTTAGGAAATGAAATGATGCTTATCATGTTTCACAACGAAAAGGGGAGGCAAATTTGCCAATACAGCCTTGAAAGAAAGGCATCAAAGATTCCATCACAACAGATTTAGCAATGGTAGGTCCATTATTCAGAGAAAACACTATTTAACA